CAGATTGAGCTGTTGTTCAGCATCTTAGCTATAGAGGGCAGTGTCACTGGCCCTCATATGTGTGATCCGAACCGGGGCCCTCTGGCGTCCCAAGCCAGCTCTTAACCAACACGCCACTCGATCGGCCCTGAAAGTAGACATTCTTGACCTGTTCCTGATCTTACGGAAAACACTTTTAGCTTTTCACCGTTGAGTATGATGTTAGCTGTGGGTTTGCCATATATGGCCTTTATGATATTGAAGTATGTTCCCTCTAGTCCTACTTTGCTTAGAGTTTTTTAAAATTTTCATCACAGATGGATGTTAAATTTTGTCAAATGCTTTTTCTGTATCAATATACTCATACTATTTTTATCCTTCATTTTGTTTATGTGGTGTATCACGTTAATTGATTTGCAGATATTGAACCAACCTTGCATCACAGGAATAAATCCCAGTTTTTCATGGCGCATGATCTCTTTTTAATGTATTGCTGAATTTGGTTTGTTAATATTTTGTTGAGGAGTTTTGGATCTATGTTCACCAGGGATATTAGCCTATAATTTTCTTCTTCTTCTTCTTCTTCTTCTTCTTCTTCTTCTTCTTTTTTTGTGTAATGTCTTTGTCTGGTTTTGGAGTCAGGTTAAGGCTAACCTCATAAAATGATTTTGGCAGCCTTCCCTCCTCTTTAATTTTTTGGAATAGTTTGAGAAGGATGGTGTTAATTTTTCCTTGAATGTTTGGTAAAATTCACTTGTGCAGCTGTGTGGTCCAGGACTTCTTTTTGGAGGGGAGTTTTTTGCTTGCTGTTCAGATTTTCTTTTTCTTCTTGATTCAGTCTTGGAAGACTGTATGTTTATAGGAATTTATCCATTTCTCTCTCAGGTTATTCAGTTTGTTTATGCCAGTATATTTTTATTCCTCAAAGGTATTCAGAAAACATATACTCATTACATAAATGGAGTAATTTTTGAAGTTGGAAGAGTGACTGACTAAACTGTTAACTAGACAGTAGTTAGAATGTTTTAGACAGGGTAAAAAATTGGATATAATGGAAAGGGCTTAAACTGAAAAATGCTCTCTTTGTAATGTAACCCTAGGTGTGTCCCTTCACTTGGTGAGTTTTCACATCTTTGAGAGGGAGCAGTAATACTTATCTTGCAGGGTTAGCAAGAGAACTAGTTGTGTGTATAGAGTCCTTAGAGTGCAGTGTCAAGCACACACAGAGTGTTCAATAAGTGATAGCAGCCATTACTTTTATTGCCTTCATGAAAGTATTTTTTTTGGTGATTGGCAGCTTTAACCCTAGGAAAATAATCTCAAATTCAGTTGGTGTAAAAGGCTTTAGTTGTTAATATATTTTGATAAGATAGGCATATTTTCTGTTTACTGCCTGAAGTAATTTTTAAAGAAAAACATTCAGTGGCTGAAGTAGTGCTTCTTTCTGCGTCTTGTGCACTTTTGGTTAACTGTAGCTGCTTGTTCTTAGATGTAGTCTTTTTGTTTTTTGACAACTTTATTGTCTGCTGAGTGGGAATTTATCTGTTTTCTAATGACTTGATCATTTTAAGAAGGAAATAGCATATATATGAGTTTTAGATATTCAGTTAGATACAATAGTAATAAATCTCAGCATAAACTATAATATTATTTGATCTTGCTATAGAGGGACCTGCTATAATTGATTCTGTTCTTCATTAATCATTATGAAATACATATAACTTTCACTTTTTTCATTTTGTTTTATAATGTGCTCTGTATTCATAGTGAATAGCTTGTTATTTGACAGAAATGTTTCATGTTATGAGAGCTTCCCTAACAGAATGAAACATTTCTTTATGGACTATGAAGCGTTGGACTTAAGGAGGGAGAAACCTGGATAAGAAGCATTGGAAATGTCTTTGTCAATTAGGGGACTTTTTGAGGAGTTTCCTTTTAAAACTATGGACTTCTGCTTTAGACAGACCACTAAAAGGGGTGGGGGACATAACCTGTAATGTCCAGTCTAGAACATGGGGAGTGGCAATTCTCTTTACAGATTTTTCTGAATCAAAAGCAATTCCATCCACTTCTTGGTAAAACCAGAGGTTATTCCTTACTCTCTTTAATGTCAGTGGCAGTCATTAGAATGGGTCTTGATACATAGCACCCAAAGGTGAGTGCTTGCTACTCTTTCTGGCCTCTCCACTCCCTGCTGCCTAGTCAGTGTGGGTGCTACCTGGATGGAGTATATGAGGTTGTGCTTTGGTGGTGTCAAACACTTCTATAGACTATCCAGAAATGCTGTCAATTTCTTTGGATTGTTTCCAAACCCTGGGCAGAACTGGGAGTTGTGTTTCAGAAGGGATTCTGCTCTTTTTCCCATTGACTGGTTGAAGCAGGTGCTCCAGTTGCTTCTCAGTCCCCAGCACTATGGAAAGGGGAGTGAAGTCAGCTGTTGGCTGGGTTTCAGGCTGTAGGGGAGGTGTGGGATTGCTTACTTTCTTCAAAATGCTGGTTGGCATTAGAAGGAGAAACGCATTAGGGAAATAAGATTACATGTATCATCTAAGTCTAGGGGAACAGTGAACCTTTTTATTTACCTTCTGCTGAGTTGACACCTCCCCATCATTTCTTAGGGCTATAAAATATTTTCTGGTTACGCAGCCCAATTGCTAGACAACGCAGAGTTTGTCATTGGTATGCCATCTTTAAAATTGTTTTTTTTTTCAGTTACAGTTGACATTCAATATTATATTAGTTTTAAGTGTATAGCATAGTGGTTAGACATTTGTATAACTTAAGAAAGTACAGCATAGTGGTTAGTTAGACATTTGTAAAACTTAAGAAATGATCCCATCTTTTGGTGGTGGTATGCCATCTTTTTTGTTCAGAATGATGGATGGATGCTACGTTCATGATGAGGGTGAGGCATTTGAAATAGATCTTGTGACCACTATGGTGTGCTAGGGAGTCAATTAGAGAACATTCCCAGTTGTAAAGAAGACCTAGTCATGGTTGGAAAGTATCCATTTGAAAAATCTTCCGATTTCTAATTTTGTCTAGTAATAATAAACACTTAGAAGAAAAGGAAATGGCAGGTAATCAGTGTGAGAATTTGGGAAAGTCACATAAAGTGAATGAGGGAATCAGGTATTGAGACAGTTTAGCAAGGAGTCAGAAGTGGAATAGCAGATATAGTTTTTCTTGATGGACTGTGCCATTTTCATAGAATAAAGGGATCAAGGCATTGTAAATCTGAAGAATAATGGCAAGGCCTAATGAGCCATTCATAAAGTCATTTCTGTTCCTGGGAGTATTGGAGAAGTCAATTTGTAACACTAAAAGAGGAAGAAAGGCATCATAGGTAGATTTTATGAAATTTGAAAAAGGAAGGTTTTTTTTTGTTTTGTTTTTAGTGGTATTGGAAGTTTTTTTTAAATATCAAAGTTTAGCAGTGCTCTGGAAGTCGCAGTAGGGAGCAGGAAGAATACAGATTCTTCTTTCCACCATGGTTTGAAGAAGACATAATGTGGAATCTCTTGTGGAGTGGCCAGCAAGGATTTTTTCTCTTAAGAAAAAAGTCAGATTTTAGTTTTGGTGAGTAGGTAAAAGAGTTTGAGACACTATTAAGAATTAAGGAGAATTTTACTTTGAATAAATGAGTACTTCTTATTTTCTGATAAAGGAATAGGTAAGAGGACAGGCAGTTATTAAGAGGCAAGATTGACATTAGCTTGGGTCAGAATGAAAGATTGAGGTGGGAGGGCAAAAGCTTTTCAAATAACCAGAATAAAAGAATTTGTTTTTTGCTGTTCAACACATGCAGACACATCCATTGGCCAGATGTTCTTAGGAACTGAGGATACTGAGATGATTAAAATTGGGTCCTTGTCTTTTATAAGATTATAACACAGTGAGCCAGACAGCCCTGATAACCAGATAATATATCACCCTGTGATAAGCGCTACAAGCATACGTAGGTGGAAAAGTAGGGATACAGGGCCTGTAGCGTCTGTGGACATCCAGAAAAGCCTCACAGGAAATGTAGCACTTTGAACTGAATCTCAAGTGGATATGTAGTTGACTAGGCAAGGAAGGGTAGAAAGGGTATTCCAGACAAAGGCATGAAAATGCTGAGTGTGTTGGGTGAGTCCAGAGTAGCAAATAATGTAGGAAAGTACGGGTATTGGAAAGAGGTACATGTAGAACATAGGCTGTGTGCTGTGACGATGAGTTGGAGTTCAATCCTAATTAGTTTTAGACAGTCTTAATTTCTGAATTAAATAAAGATAACACTCAACACACACTTAACTTTACTTTTTTAGAGTCACAATTTTAGCAAATGAGACATCAAAGATAAAAGTGTCCGTAATCTTATTCTCTTTCAATCTTTGTTTATATAAATATTTGCAATTAGAGTTACAATTACACCTTAGAATTATTTATGCTTAACTTCTTTTCATTTTATTATATCCTTAGTATTTTTCCAAATATTTCAGTCTTGATAGTGACCATAGTTGTCTACTATTCCATGAAATGAATGTTACCCCCAAAGAGTAAAAGCATAAAGATGTTTCTTGTAATATGTTATAGTATAGTGATGAAAAAAATGAGAACATAGTAAATATCTAATACTAGGGGGATGGTTTGATAAATTATAGGTTATCATTTTAAGGCAGAGTTGAAATACTTGAGTGACAGATTAGATGTGGGAGTTACAAAAAGAGAGAACCAACTTCAGATTTCATACGTCTAAGTGGAATTTTAACATTTTTACCTATCTAATGGATCCAAACACTATGAGTATTTGTGTGTGTGTGTGTGTGTGTGTGTGTGTGACCTTTAAAGCAATATATATATAGAATATATTAATGAGCATTAGATTATTTTTTAATACATGACCCGTAATTACATTGTAAATGATTAATAAGTTAATCATTTATTAATTTTTTTGCATAGATATTTATTAAAATTCATCATCACAATTTGAGGAGCTATTTCTTTTACCTTTGAGTTTTACAAATGATGGTTCATTCTAGCAGCAAATTGCCCGACCCTCACAAGAAGAAAAAGTAGAAGAAAAAGAAGAAGATAAAGCAGAAAAAACAGAAAAAAAAGAAGAGGAAAAAAAAGATGAAGAAGAAAAAGATGAAAAAGAAGACTCTAAGTAAGTTAAATAATTAGAGTTAAATAATTAGTTAAATGTTACACTTATTTTTAAATAATGAAATTGAATTATTGAAAGTACAAGATTTTAAATAAAAGAATGGGAAGAATGGGATGTGTGCTTTGACATCATTAAGGAATGGAGTATTTCAGTAAATATAACTTTTTTTTAGCTTAATGGACTTATTTGCTTGACATTACTTTTTGGAAGGGTTAGGCTACAATAATATACACTTATCATTGAGATATATCAAATATAATTTAATCTTTGATTTGGAAGATACCTCAGGATCTTAAATTTTATACCTAAGATAGTATACATTAGTGTAAAAATCCTAATAAATGGTTTTCATTTATATAATACCTTATATTCCAGCTTTGTTGATTTTACTTATCATATAAAACAGGTCCTGGTTTGTGTGTGGATGTTGTTGCTGTTTTCTTGTAAAAGGAATTCTTGCTCATTATGGAAAATCAGTAAAAGAAACCAAAATATAAAGAAAATTAACTTGTGATTCTGCCACTCAGAGACAGCTATTGTTGATGCCTTTGTGTACATATTTTGGCGGGCAGTGTGTGTAGGGGGTTAGCAACTGGGTTGGTTGTTTTCCCCCCAAGGATCAGCTTTATTGAGGCATTATTTACGTAGAATAAAATTTACCAATTTTAAGCATATATGTTGATAAATTTTGACAAGTATATGCACTGGGGTAACAATTGCCAATAACATGATGTAGAACATTTCCATCACCCTGAAAAGTTCCCATACGCTCCTTTGCAGTGTTTTCCCTTCCCCCAATTTTTGCCCTCTGGCAACTGCTAATCTGTTTTCCTTTTTGTAGAATTTCATATAAATCAAATCATACAGTAGGTAATCTTCTGTGTGTGACTTCTTTTACTTAGCATAATGCCTTTGAGTTCCGTACATGATGCATGTGTCAGTAGTTCATTCCTTTTTAATATTTATTGTGTTATTTCTATAATTCTCTTAGAAATACTGAAGGTTTATCTGGTTTTGTGGCAACCAAAGCACTCTTAATCACTTGACATGGTTTTTAAAGTGTTGGATACTATTGCCATTCTAATATTCTACTTTAGTAAGATTCCTGTTTTTTTTGTATTGACAAAGTTTTTTCAATCGTTATTAAATTTATTGGGGTGACATTGGTTAGTAAAATTATATAGGTTTCAAGTGTGTATTTTTGTAATACATCATCTGTATATTGCATTGTGTGTTCACCACCCAGAGTCAGTTCTCCTTCCATCACCATGTATTTTGACCCCCTTTACCCTCTTCTTCTACCCTCCCCTCCCCCTTACCTAACTCGGGTAACCACCAAACTGTTGTTTCTGTCTATGATTTTTTTGTTGTTTGTTTGTCTTGTCTGTTGCTTTCAGTTTTATATCCCACATATGAGTGGAGTCATATGAAACTTGACTTTTTGTGTCTGACTTATTTTGCTTAGCGTGATAATCTCAAGATCCATCCAAGTTGCTGCAAATGGCAGTATTTATTTCATCTTTTCTTTTGGCTGAGTAATAATCCATTGTATGTCCACATCTTTATCCAGTCATCTGTCAAAGGACACTCTGGTTGTTTCCATGTCTTGGCCACTATGAATAATGCTACAATAATCATCGGAATACATACATACATACATACATATATATATATATATATATAT